GACCTGGCACGAGGGTATGAAAACCCTAACCAGGGGACTGGGTCACATAGATCCCATTAGGCTCCCTGGCTGGGGACCTCGGGATGATTGTAACCGATGGTTGGAGACAGTGAGTGTCGTAAACAGTGGCATTCGTGCATCTCAGTTTCTCTGTATCAGTAGTCCACTGAACTTCTCAATTCGCTCTTCGATCCTACTTTCAACCATTCTGTTTCCTTCCTATTGTTCTTCCAAATGGGCAGCGAAAAGAAAGCAACAAAAAGTGACGCTCGGAAGTGTATGCTTGTTGATTGTTCAATGTGAAACCGAAACTGAAACGAATTGGAAAAGTGGGAGAAGAGGTTTCAAATTCTAATTGCTTTTTTTGCCACTGTTACCCGCAAAAGACATTCTGGTGCCTTGCCGATTAGATTTTGATTAGCCAAGTAAATCTGTTTTTTATTGCCAAGGATAATCAACTGTGTTTGACTTTGTTTGTCTGAAAGTGGGCTATTCACTCCATTATAGTTGTGGTCTATATATGAGGGTTAATCATTTGAAATGGGAACGTGGTGACGCTCGAACTGACAGAAATTTGATGATAGCCAGTGAGTGGTGGAAACTAGTGTTTTGCTGTCAAAACTTGGAATATAGAGAGAAGTCAGAAACAAATGGGCTTGTCCAATGTATCCATGATCAGTTCACTGCATCCGTGCACATGGACATACTACAGTCAAGATGATTTGCATAGTCAGTGAGATGAAAAAGTGTGAGGCTAAGACAAGATCGCTAGTCACAGCGGACAGCAAGACATAACAACACAAAAAAACAAGAGTGTGGTCAATCGCCAGGATTTGAGAGCTTTGACAAATTAATTGTTTGTATTGCACATGACCTGAAATGCATGAGTTGGAATCATGCAATGTTTTTTGTTTAATCGAAAATCTGAGTCAATTCGATGGCTTACCGATTTCACACTTGTCGTGCATTACTCTCTTAAGCCACACCGGGATGTTTTCATCCATTCGGTGGTGTAAATACCTCCCTGTCTTGCCTAAGTAGACAACCGAACATGCACACTTAAATTGGTAAATGCAGTTTGATTTGGCGGAGGTAGCAATGGTTCTTTCACCGATTTCGTTGGTATCCGGGTAATAGAGAAGACAACGCGTGAGTCAGTTGTGTAATAGACGCAGACGAAGCTTGTGAAGTGCAAATATTAACAAGACCACATGTTCTTTCGAAAGAGAAATTTCCTAATCGATCCATCCGATCGATGGGTAATGTTTATACCTATCAACTAGATGTGGTCATCCGGTTCTTCGGGATGAGTCAGCTGGATACTAAGGTGATTTGTCGCCAATGAATGGAATAGGTTTCCTTCGTCTAGGTGACCCAGAGAAATATTCACAAGAATCGATCCCAGCGGACTGTCGCATGAAAACCCATGTACCTGACGATATACTTATCCAAGGATAGAAAATCATGGAAGTAGAAGTTATAATATTTTGCTGCTAGGTAACCCAAGCTGTAGTTTCTTTTGATAGAAATCTTTTCTTTGTCTTACAGCTATCATTTCAATGACTATAAACTTCACTTTGATTGTAGTATGTGCACGTGCAAAGATGCAGCGCAATGTCCGAGGACACTTTGTGCAAATGCACTATTCAAATGTGCTATTCAAGCAAGCTTTCCTAAGATCTTCTCAACATCTGCCTGGAATTTCGGCGTTTCCAATCCGATCAGCGCCACATCCTCTGTATAATCGGTGGTAATCCTTTGATTGGTTACAATCTCGAATTTGATTGTGGAATTGTATCCTTTTTAACGGGAGAAACATTTATTCAAGTCAGGTTCGTTCATGTAAGAAAATGCTCGTTCATTACGGCTGTCTACCTCAGTGTATGTGTGTGTATTGTCAGGTTCTGCCGGAATGAGATGAATTACTTAGTCACGGTTAGAACTGGGTTATCTGATTGACATAGGGAAAATAGTTGAAAAAAATGATCACTGGATCAGTAAATTGTTTTTTCCATTTTTCTTGCATGACATCGTGCATAGTCAAGTGCATTTCAAACGCATATATATCATCCATTTCATTATAGAGACTGCTGCTTGGTCATTCTTACCACTGAAAGAAAAAGTCGATGAATTTTTTCTCAAAGTAAGTGAAAATAGTGGACAGACTAAACTGACCTACTTCCATTATGCTTTCCATTGTTATACATGGCGGAGATGGAGAACGGAAATGGTTAAGGCCATCACGGAAAACAATCGGATTTGCGTTTGCGTTTTGCACTCTATAGTGAACAACGATGTCAATCAGTTCAGTAAATCAGTCGTAGACTTTAAAATATCAGTGCTGTTATTCGGTTGATTAGTCCACGTATACCTTCAACCGAAACTGTGCGAGTTGAGAAAATCTAGATGAAAACAGTCCTAGACGAGCATCGAATTGTGTGTGCTATGTTCACCACACTATTTTAATAATAATAATAATAATAATAATAATAAATGCCTTTTTACTTCCCTCTATTTATTAATTGAATATACAAATGTACAGTCATAGGTTTTGTTTTGTTCTTCCCGGGTTACCAGTTGTCTTATCATGCTGTTCGATGAATGGCTACAGGGGTGGTGGAGAATTCAGTCACTGAACACAGGGTTTCCAGCCTGTACTATCAATACCGTGTGTCAGGCTCGTAAATCTATTAGATTTTCAATGTGAAATTATTCGTTGTAGTGAGCACAAGAGCACATGTCTCTTTCATTCTCTCTCCCTCACACACAGAGAGATATCCTTCTCAAACTAGTTTATTCGCAGAGTGGCGTTTATTCTTCTAAAGTGCCTTGTCAAGAGATAAAACTATTTATTTTCTGATAACTGGAAATGAGAGCTTACTAGCGAGTTGGACATTTCATAAGATTTCATGAATGCTTTCGTGCTAAGCTAAATGTTTCCTTACTCAGTTACTTAAGAGTGTAATCACCGCTTTTTTCAGGGTTGAACACTTTTCATAGTTAATCTTCAGTTTCAAGTTTGACTCAGAGTTACTTGTGAGCTGTGGTTTGGAATAACTGGTTTTTAATAATTTGAGCTGAACTATCCTTCGGACTTCACCTTCACGCACAATCCTCAGTTCATCGATTCAACCATACACTCGGAAGCATTAGTTTTAAGTTTCGATCTTATTAGAGCTCATCAGTAGTGTATATCCACCGTCCTGTCAGGGATTTGAGCTCCGGACTTATCGCATGGAAGGCGTGTGCGTTACCGCTGTGCCAACCAGCTCATATCTCGGCTGAACCGAGTTGCCCATTCATGTTAGTTCAGGTTTTGTCTT